ATAATTCATTACAAATAATTTAAAATATATGACTCTGCTTGTGACAGTCATGTTGAGGACATGATTCTCAGCCTTTGGATGCTATTTTGTCTCTCTATAAGTGGAGAACTTTACTCCTAGGAAAGATGGCACTTGAAAACAGCTGTTAAATATTTCCTAGTTCTTGTTTATTCCCTCTGTATTCAAATCTATTACACAGGAAACATTTCTTCTTTCTTTACACCTGAATTTACAGTTTCAACTGCAATCCACTTTAATAATCTTTTGGATGGGAAAAGATACTCAAGAAATTGTGCTTTTATGAACACATTTATGACAATATGCATTTTCAAGGTGAGATAGAATACAAATTTCATCACGTGTGTCTTTCTCAGAGACAGTAAATAAGCAGTTTCAAGGATAAATGTTGTATAAAATATGTCTATTTAGGAGTTCTTTTCTGTACTTTCTTGAACTAATATTACTTGCCTAGAGAGAGCAGCCCTATGTTGTTTCTATATAAGGGTTAGATAGAGATTTAACAAAAATCTCATTGGAAAACAATGACAATGTTCAAACAGATAAAGTACTAAAAACAAATGACCTAGTTTCTTTTCTCTGGGTGAAGTGCTCTTTCACAATTTACACACATTAATTAATTTTTGTCATTGTAGTAATTTGTTTCAGCTTATACTGTTTATTAGTATTTGATAAGAGGAACATGTTTCCAAATTTTGTTTTATGGAAGAAACAGACATTTGGAAACATGAAAGAGGGCACAGTAAAAGTATGACCGAACCCCAAATGTGTGGTTGCAAGACACAGGAAGCTATTTCCATGTGAGGCTTGGAGCATTCCTAGGGATTATTCAGGGGTATCATAAAAAGATATTTTTCCAAAATAGTATAAATTCAGTTCAGCCTGAATTTGAGTTTTGGAGTACTTAATAAATAATTGATAGGATGAAATATTTTTTGTCAACTGTTTTATAGTTTTTCCCTAGGAAGTTTGCTCTTGCATAGATAAAATAGCAAGTCTGTTAGGTTACAAATATATTGATTAGGAAAACCAGGTGCTAGTCATGCGATAAAGATAAGCTTCTTTCCTTTTTTCAAACTTACTTTGAGAATGCCTAATGTGTTTGGGAGAATCAACCTCACTCCTCCATACTTAGAAGAAAGCTTCCTGTTAATTTCTCTGGCTCCCCGAAACTTACACTCACATTTTCCCAAGAAATCAGCTGCACAGTGGCAGAGCCAGGTCAATAGACACCTGCTTACAGGCTTTATTAAGGTTACTAGGCAATAGAGGAGCTGCAAGGTAGATCTGGTGGTGGCTAGGAGGTGGTCTGTGCGTGGTGACTGGCAGAGCACCTAGGCATGTCTGTCTCTAAAAATCCTATGAAAGTGAAAACATCCAGCAATGGTAACTAATGAGACCATTAAGAGCAATTAATAGAGTTAACAACTTTGTCGTTAAAGCCAAGTACAGTGACCTAGGGAGTTAGCCAGGAGGTAAGGGTTAACAGCAACCTTATGAGCAACCGCTTGCGGTATTATGTGTGCCCTTGGGAATTTTAAAAAGCTTTGTGCTTCTTTGGAACTTCAGGACAACCCCTTGAAAGTAAGCAGGGCAGTTTTTGTTATTGTCATGTGATGGATAAGGTTAAAAAGCTCCTATACATTAGCAGAGAACTCAGAAAAAGCTTGAATTTAAATTATTTCAGGAAGATAAATTTAGCGAGATCTTACGATGGATGAAAAGCCCCGTTTACACTAACAGCTGGGGAGCGGGCTGAGTGCATGAGATATGGGAATGAGACCCCCAAAAGGGAGATGGGAGAGAGTTTAAGAATTTACAATACTTCATAATTGGACTGAGCATTGCTCCCAGGTCAGTGTGGTTGATTATTCAGTAATGGAAGTGCCATTTCCTAGCCTACTCCCCACAGACACTAACTTTCTCAGGGTTTCCACCCTTAACAGGAAATGGAAAGCCCAAAATTTGACTATTGTTTGCTGAGAGATACATAGTTAGTTGTTTCTATATCTGTTTTAAACCCAGTGGGAGTCAGCTTCTCTTATTAACTACAGTGTTAATGTCCAATTATAGACAGTCATCGCTTTGGAATGGCTGAGCCCACTTCTTTAAGAATGCATCTCCTAAGGAAATAAAGACAAGCAAGAGCATCATGTATATAAAAGAGAGACAGGCTTCCATGTCAGATAGGTCTGGATTTGAATCCCACCTCTGAGTATTTGCAGTAAGGAGGACACTTGCCTTCACTGAGCCTCAATTTCCCCAGCTTTAAAAATGAGAATAATATCTACCTCTGCTGGGGCCTTGTCAGGGTTAAATTAAATGACATAAATTTTATTTAAGTCAGTTGACATTAAAAAAAGGAAACTCATCATGGTAAACCTATGTGATTGCATTATTCTGCAGATGACTAAGACAGGACTTTGTCTCTGATAACAAACGCCATGATTTTAAAAGATGGATCATAATGTCTTTCTGGATATATTCATACTGCAAAAATTATTAACACCGTGGATCTAGTAGAAGCCAAATTAAGCTGCTTTCCCATGCTATGCCACTGTCATGCAGGATGCATGCTCTGGGCAGATTTCACGCATTTTTGTCATTGGGTTGGCAGAACTGTCAGATGCCAGTTTTGAAAGATGAGGCTATCTACAGATGCTTGCATAACATAGTTAAGCAGAGAAACAAAAATGAAAATATCCCTCGGCCATTCACTGCCTGCTGGGTAGCTTCTGTTTGTGCTTCCAGATGCACTTTCCATCCTGCTCCCACTGCCCCGGGCCCAGAAAATCAGATCTGTACTCCTCCATGAGGACTTCACTGCCCTGTGCCTTCTGGTTCAGCTCAATTAATGGGAGCCATCAGCAGGGATTGAAAAATCAGAGAGAGTGAATGACAGGCATATATTTCCGCATCCCCTTTCATGGGGTTGCCACATCCTGGCTGTGTCCTGAGAACAGCAGTCCCAAGTCTCTGTGGGGCAGCTCTCACCACACCGCTTTTCTGTCTTCCGTCTCCTACAGCGTTCCTGCCACTTGTCTGTTGAGGCCCACAGGTGGGAACAGTCCCTGCTGTTACTTGCCCCCAGTGTATTGTCTACACATTTGTACTAGGATAAAACATGGGTCTGTCAATTTTGCAGAGCAAAAATGATCAAATATCGGCAATTTCATACTCAATCTAATAAATAGATACATTATTAAACTGTTTTGAATCATCCAATTAAAAAGTGCAAGCCATTAATTGATGAAGAAAAGCTTTGTTAAAATTAAGGAAGCCAGGTTTGCAGAGGAGATGGCAGAGAGGCATCTGAAGATTTTTTGAGATAGAAATATTTACTGAGGGCAAAATGACAATTAAATATTAGGAGCTGTGATCATAAGTTATTTAAACACTGAGTTAATAAAAAAGAATTTCTATAAAGTAAGTGGTTATTTGGTATCAGTACCAAACTGATTTGATTTTTTAAAAACCAATTTGGTAGTTCTGGGAACCTACTCAACCAGTTTGGTGTTGCTAAGCCCTTGTGACTTGTAATTAGAGACATCACAGCGATGTAAATGACAGAACACAAACGGAGAGTAGGGAGACCTGGATTTGAGTACTTGCTTCCCCTCCAGCCAGTTGTACGATTTGGGGCAAATCATGTTGCCTTATCATTATCAGGTTTCTGATCTGTAAAATGAGGAGTCAGGATTCAATAACCCCCAAATCCCTTTTAGGTCTGTTTTTTGTTAGTTTGTAACACCAGGGACCAATATCAAAGGAGTGGCAAAGTCTCAGGCTGCTTCTCCTCTGCCTGCTCATTTGCTTCATCCACATTTGGCCAATGATTCCCAAACTTGGCAGCACAGGAGCCAGGCCAGGGATTTATCCCTCGGCTCCACCTCACAACTACGAAATCTCTAGCATCGTATGGACAGTAGCTATCTAATATGTACGAAATTCACCCAGTTGATTCTGAAGTGCGTCCAGATTGGAGAACCACTGTGGAAAACACTATCTTGGAGATAAAGAGAGAAGACTGAAGACAAATTTGAGTTATTGTGAACAACTCTCAGGACAATTCTGGTGGAGGAAATCCAGAATGGTTCTCAGTAATGGAGCTAAATGATTTCTGCTCTCATGCTTTCTGTAATGCTCAAATAGAAGGAAGACGCTCACCAGATTTGCTTGTTACAATGGCGCACGTGGGCATGAGTCTCATGGATGTGTGTCCTGTTGCCCCCAAATTCTTTTGCTTTCCCTTACGCAATACAAACCTTTTTCAAAGCATGCATACACAGAACATGGTAATATAGTCATGCATGGCTTAACATGGGAATACCTTCTGAATAATGTGTCATTAGGCAATTTCATCATTGTGTGAACATCACAGTGTGTACCCACCCAAACCTAGATGGTATAGCCTGCTACAACATACCTAGGCTACATGGTATAGCCATCACAATCTCATGGGACCACCGTCATGTATGGGGTCTGCTGTTGACTGAAATGTTGTTATACAGCTCATGACTGTATTTATATGGCTCAGAGTAAGTGCATAGCTGCTCATAGTTGAGGTGACTGGCCCAAAGCTAGCCTGGCACCAGAACACTGAAGGAATTAATGGCACACTGGGGTCACTGGGAAGCACTGCCCCAGTGCACCTAGTATCATCTACGTTCACATGATGTCCTCAGTACGTTTCCCATAGATGTCAATAAATTACCAATTACTCACGAAAACTCATGGTTTGTTGTATGATTCTTATTTGCTTGTGATTTAATTATTCACAGCCCTCTACTATAGCATGTAACAATTACTTTCAGAAACTACATAGAAATGACATACCTCACTTAATTCAAAACTTGACTGTAAAAGCAAATATGATTACATATATAAACCACTGCTGAAGTCAAATACTAACACTGCATTCCCTGCTTACAGGTACTGTATCCTTTAAAATAAAATTAAAAACCTAACAGTGCAGTGCTCACCGGGTCCTTTCGTACAAGATCTCCATTGGGCACAACTTCAACCAGGTGGATGATAATAATCATAGAATTCAGAATGTAGGTAAGAAACATGTTCTTGTGCAGTGTCACCCGTTGGCAGCTAAGGTTCCTGGAAGAAAAAGTGACATAAAGCATTAACCAGTGCTGAAACGTGAAGTACTGGGAAAAAATGCTTTGGTAAGATTTTTCATGATTTCCTTAGCAACTGATGAGAGAACATATAGAAATAAGTGAGGCAGGTCCCATCTTTAAGACTCCTTACTACTTTTCTTCCTGATTTTTAAAACAGCTTTAAAATCAGTTTGCCAGTCATACTTTTTCATCCCAGGGGGAGTTAATACAATAACTGAAATAGTGAGTGATAAAATAGCTATTAATTGTAACAAATATTGTAGAATCAATTAAGAGAAGTGCTCTTAGAAGAGAAACCATGAGGGTTTGGAGTGTGCTTCAAATGAAAAGTGCTCCGTTCGTTGTTGTAACCAGGAGAAAGGATGTGGCCAAGGGGTCACAGAGCGTTAAGTCAGAAGCAAGGCTGCAGTGACAACGGATGAAATCCACGTCCTTGAGCCATTACATGTGCAAGCTTCTTTCCCTATTTCTGTTGTTCTGTGGGTGAACAGCATGCCATGGTATGACCAGCAGTTATCTTTGGTGTCCTGTCATGTCAGCAGTGGGTTGGAAAAAAGGAGGCCATCTTTTATACCGTTTATTTAGTGGTTTCCCTTGAGGAACAGGAAGGCAGGCAGAGATGTCTAAATGGTGAATACGACACAAGATAAAGACACCTGTCCATCCAATATGTAGATGTGACATGAAATAATAGGGAATATTGAGTAAATGGTACAGGAGTCAGTGTTCCTTCTGGTTGTCACCGTGGAAGCCTCCTTTTTTGACCTCCATGATTACCTATTCTTTTGCCAATGTGGCCAATGTAATATTATATAATGTAATGTAGACAATATAATGCAATATAATGCAATAGATCTTCCAAGATCTATTTTTATTAATTTTCAGGCAAGAGTAATGCATATTTAAATTATTTAATAATCACAAAAGCAAGAGTACCAATGGATATCCATTGGTCGAAATGGATAATAGTGAATGTTCTATTATCCTTTTCTTGAGAGACTACAGTGAGACATTTAAGTATTTAGGATTATTCCAGAAAAATGCAAATTGAAATATTGTAGGAGGAACTTATGGAATGGGTGAATTTATTGAAACTTGCTGAAAATGGTCAAGAACCAGACTCAAATGAATGTCTACTTATGTGACTTTCCCAAACCAGTCTTCCCTAAGGGTATCTTCATGTTAGCTCTCTTGTTGACATTTTCTATTGACACCTAGTAGTGAGAGGTCTTGCTGAACTAGTTGGATGTTTATATTCAATCTCTCTCCATATTACTGCTCCTAAGTGTTTTTTCCTGTAAAGGTCCTAAACCAAATCATATTCTAAAGAGGCTGTCTTCTGTCTTTAACTGGTGGACCAGAAATAACGTCTATGTCATCGTGAATGTTATTAAAATTTTTGTACATTTAAGGTTTTAGTATTTTCTTTTTTATAATTTAAATCACTGAAACTTTTTATTCTCTAGGATGAGGAAGGCATAGAAGTTTGATTTTCGTCTTTGAAAATAACAAAGACTTTATATACATTTCTACATTAATTTTCCAGTAGCACAGGGATCATGATTCTTATTTGTTCTAGGGTTATGTAGCCCTGCCTTTTACCTTCCCCTGGATGCTCAGAATAAAATCACATTAAGATTAGAAGCATGCTTAATGATCTCATTCTGAGTAATATCCCAAGATTTTTAGCGATGTATTGGCAGGTAGCATCCTATACAGTAACTACAAATTTCTCTGCAGGCTTCTTTAGCCTGCTGGTTTGAGGTGGACACCTGCAAGATGGCTCCTTTTTATAGACTCTGTAGGGAACATTTGAGGAGTTCCGCGGGCTTTAGAATGAAATTTCAGTGGGATGATTATGAATGGGGCATCAGCTCTCAGAAGTGGAACTGGATGACTTCTCACTTTGATTTCATGTAATCTTTATGAAATTGACTGTATTTTGCAAAATAACTCAACCCTGGGAATATAGAATTAATCAAGGAGGTGATAATTATATTTTGCTCAGGTTTCACACAGATGATGCCGTTTGAGTGCATAAGTTATAAAAAAACTTCTATTGTAATATACAGTAAAGATCTTGAGGATGATGTTGAGTGTTCGAAAAAAAACCAGACAATTTTGCTCATTAAAAGATAAAGTCCAATGATATATGAGAATTACTTTCTACTTTCACAATCACTTTTAATATTCCTGAAATCCAGATATAAAAAAAATTTGAAGAGTCAGAAACATACTTTAATTTTAAGAAAACAGATGTCCTTGATATTTTTAGTTTGGGTATGCTTAGGATATGATTGAGAACAAGTATAAAAATCTTACATGATTTCTTCTGGGTTTAAATATTTGGCATCTTAACATGTATGTTTTTTATATCTCATTTGTCTCTTGTGTCTGTTCTGGAGAAGAAGCTATTTCAGTTTATGTCTTCTCACTACTACATTCAGATTATAAGCCAATAAGACTTGTTTTTTTTCTCCCTAGATTAAATTGCTGTTTGGTGGATTCTTGGAATTCAGAGACAGGAGGACAAAGTCAGTGGCTGCCCTCACACTCTCTCAAGGGTTTGACCAGAATCACTTTGCTTTGGGACCAAATAGAGTTGAGAAATATTTCACTTTGACCATGTGCTGTACTTTTAAACACTCATCTTCAATGGCTTAATATAGAAATGATAGCTGGAAGAACATTCTTATTTTCTTTGCTAATTTGGCTCTCACATCTCATCACTTATTTAAGTGACTGGAGAAATAAGAAACTAAGAAATATCCCCTTGACATTTCTTACCTTTAAGTCCTGTCCACACTTATTAATTACATGATTACATATTTGGGGGATATTTCTTTCAATTTCTTTTGGTTATGTTTTTACAAACTTTAAGAAATAGACTTTTAGTGTCAGACTTTTTCATCAAAGCTGTATGAGGGCCATGATGATGTATTTATTCACTGTGGCAAAGCACAGCTGAAAAATGAACAGCCAGTCCAAGATTAATAATGTTACATGTTATCTTCTGTATTGTGATCATTATAATTGAAAAAACTCTTCTATTCTAATCTAGTAATTAATACCTCATGTCTCGTTCCTTCATTTATCAGTTTTTCTCCTGTTAAGCCACTTAAAGAAAGAGCTCATTGTCTGCTTACTTACGTTTTATTTGCTATTCAGCTAAAAGATTACTATTCTGTTATGTTGCTTAGTCAGAATCTCGATTAAGAGGTAGACAAAGATTAAAATAGGACCAAGGAAAAAAAATAGTTGTCTAAGGATGTGTTTACAAGTGATTATTCTCCCCTCGCTTTAATTCTCTTTAGTACTATCATGGTAATATTTTAACAAAAATCAAGTTAAGATTCTATTATTCTATATATAAATCACTGTATATTTAATCACATATTACATCTTTTGAGTGTGGAGGATTACTTGTAGTCTAAGCTTATAAAAGAAGTTTTCTTCATCATTTGTACAATACCACTGCAACTATTATTACTACTGATAATAATGATAATGGTGGTAACAATTATAATGATATGAAACACTTATATTTCACTTATTATATGTCAGATACTAATCCAGGTACTTTAAGTGTACTATTTCATTTCTATCTAATTTACTTCAGTTTCTAACATGTGGGGCATCTATAAAGAATACACATGTGGCTTACTCTGAACCTACATTTGTGAATATATTTTAGAAAGCCAGTTTAGGTCTATGTTATGAATGCTTTATTTTCGCCAAGGTTTGCTGTGATGCAAGCATATGTAACAGTTTCTGATTTAAATGTACAGTTATCTGAAAAGCTCCTATTTTCCACTTACCTAAAGATGACAAGACACTTTATGATGTATTCCAGTTGTTCCCTGTGTGTTTTCTCCTATTTTGCTTTTTGGTATAATTGTGTATGCATACAACCAAAAGACAAGCATCATTTGACTTAGGCTTGCATGTGCTTGTTTATTTCTTATTCTTACTTATGCTAAAGGGTCTCCAAATTGTATTCTTCTAGAGATTTAGCTGAGGGGTCTTATTAAATGGCAATTTTCAGGCCATTTCCACAGATGACTTCTCCTATGTTGACTCTAGAGCTTGTTGACCATTACCTAAATTAGCAGATAACAATAGGAATCTCTAATAAAGGAATCTTCTGCATGAATAAAACAAACAGTCCCTCTGCCTGTGGGGAAGTCTATAGTGAGAGTTTCCATATTTATCCATACATAGAAAATATATTTATATAAATATGCATATTTATACACACTTAGTTTCAACTCCATCCACACAATGGAGAACAGAGTATCAAGATTTTTCCTAGTCAATCTCAGTCTTGGAAACAAAATATAAAATATCCAAATTACAGGAAGAGGACAGTATAAAAGAAGTGGAAGGAAATCCATATTAGTGTAGATGTCAGAATTCTCATAAAAGGCTAATGGAATTTTATTCCTCACAGTGTCTTAGAAGATAATTAAAGTTAACGGTACCAGGCTTGAAAGGGCAAAGAACTGGCACTGGATAGTGGGCCATCTCCCTCCAGAGACTCTCCTTTTTTTTTTTTTTCCTTTTTGTCTTTTTTACTGGCCGGTAATGGGATTGCAACCCTCAGTGTCGAGCCTGCACTGGGGACTGGCAACGGGATCGCAACCCTCAGTGTTGTGCCCGCGCCACGCTCAGCCAATGAGCGGGAACCGGTCTCCACATGGGATCCGAACCCTCGGCGGGAGCGCCGCCGCACTCCCAAGCGGCGCACTCTCCAGTGCACCACCGGGCCGGCCCCAGAGACTCTCCTTAATCCTGGTTGAGTAAGTCAAAGCCAGAAGACAGACTCAGGACCTATCTTCCTTCCCTAGCTAACCACTGTCATGGCCTCACCAACTTCATTTCTCTTCTGGTCAAATCCACTTGTGATACAGCTCATAATTATTCAGGGTACATGTGAACTTGCAGCCAGAGCCTTCATACATTAGAGTGGGGGTAATAGCAGATGGAGGATCCTCTTCTCTGTACCTATAGCAACGTTAGTCCTGGTGAATGGAATTTTACCCTATCACCACAGCATACTTATGAGCTCACAGGACTGTCTTATTTTGGAAAGGAAGCATCTTGCCTTTGAAAATGCTATGAATCTATCCTGTTCTCCTCAGCAACAGGATAAAACTGCATATTTTAACTCAATTCATTTTTCCTTTACTTTTTTTTTTTTTTTTGTCTTTTTTCGTGACCGGCAATGGATCGCAACCCTCAGTGTTGTGCCCGTACCGGACCGGGACCGGCTACGGGATCGCAACCCTCGGTGTGTTGCCCCTGCTCCTCGCTCAGACAGTGAGCGGCCGGTCTGTATGTGGGATCCGAACCCTCGGCAGGAGTGCCGCCGCGCTTCCCAAGCGGCACACTGTAGCAGTGCGCCACCGGGCCGGCCCCATTTTTCCTTTACTTTATGGCTCCCAATATTGCATGTTTCTTATGATTTGCAAAAGACCCTTTCTAGCCCCTCTTGCAGAATTTACTATTTATTCCAAAAACTTAAAGAAGAAAATAAAAAGCAGATGCTGTAAGTGTGCTTACCTGTAAAACATGAAAATCCCCAGGGAAATCACTAAGGTGAAAATCGACAAAGAGTGACCCACAATAGCCAAATAGTACAGAACATATGCATTCTGGAAAAAAATTAAAAAAAACAAAACAAAACAAATAGATGAATCAATTATTATGAAAGAGAGAAAATAATTTCTATTTCTAAATATGAGTATAAATCAACAAATGTTCTCCTTTAAAATAATCTGCTAAAATTATAACAAATATTTCAGAAAATGAAATTATTTTTAATCTTTACCATGTCATTTTATGGAAATAAATTGACCTATTTTTAAAGAGTAAAGTTCCTTGAGATAAATTAAATCTTAATCAAAAATATATTTCAGAAGTAATTTTAAATATATTAAAATTATCATCCCTAAACCCAGTAAGTGATCCAGACAGGTTTTAACTTCTGGGATCTAGAGTACTTTTGCCACCTAAAATACTATATTTAATTGAGAAATGTATCCATCCTATCCTCTGTCAGAATTTTTTTTTATCTCCATATACTTCATTTCTAAGAAAAATCTATCCAACTTTCATTCATATTCTTTCAGTTGCCTTAAGAGTACCCCCATTTTTTTTAAAAAAAATATTCTTTTGAAATAGGGTTGCCTAAGTGTGTAAGATTAAATCAGCAGCTCATAATTTAAATGCCATTTTTGCATCTTAGAAGTTTTGTTTTTAAAAAATAAATCCTAGGTAGGTATCTTCAATTATTTTTACTATATTTGTACAAAATATTTGTGGAAATAATTTTAATCATTACGTTAGGTGCCTAGAGGGTAGTATTTCTTCTTAAAATTCTTTATTTCCTTGTTAGATGTGGCCAGGGTAGGTGAGAAGGCCAAACATGGCAATATGAGAATTATTTATTTGGACTTGCAGTATTTTTAGCAATTCAGTTAACATGTTTGTAATTTTTTTTTCTGTAAAATCATAATCAGCACTCATTCAGGAAATTCCTTACTCAGTGTCATGCCATTTTAATCAGACTTCATTAAGAAAACAGCTCTTCATTAGGGTGTAGACAGGCATCTGATTCTCAGGAGTGACTGAAAACTGTGTAAAGAGGTAACTGGCTTTGGTATGCTCAGCTTGTGCTGTGACAAGGTGTCCCTCTAGTCAACTGTCTTATGCTATTCATCTTATTTGTTTTTGTTGTTGTTTGTATTGTTTTTTTGTTTATTTGAGTTGTTTTTAATATAAGAAAAATTTTCTATACTCCTAAAGCTTCTTAACAGCAACCAACCAACCAATCAACAAACAAAAAAACACTGATATGTGTTTAGCTTCTAACTAAGCAATTATTAGTACACAGGCCTATAGTAGGTTTGTGTTGCAACCCCAGGATTGCTCAGAGATGCCCTGGAGAGCTAAACGTTAACCAACTGTTTCTCCCAGCTCTGCAGGGTGAGGAAGCTGGTTGTAAACTTAGTGATCTTCTCAGATTTCTGATGCATCTGAAGAAGAGAGAGTATCTGGCTTTTTCCCCCTGCATTGGCTTCAATGAATGTTTTTAAGCAGCAGTGGTATTCAAAATATTTAACAGCCAGTTAGATACATGTACTAAAAATTGTGAATGGACTCCTACTACAAGTAATCTAAACAGCCATACCTGAATCAATGGGCTGATGAGAAGCCCCACTTTAGGGGTTCCTAAATAAAAAAACTAAGGTCATGGCCAATGCTGGGGGGAGGGGCAACCATTAGCTGTGACCAATGAAAAAATCTGTAGTTTTGGAACTCTTCCAGGCGGAGAGAGATGTTAGAGAGTCCCTTGAAATGCTGCTAATCTCTGGCATCATAGGGAATCCCATCATCTGCTCTATGGACTATTCCTTGTGTATAAATGGCCTGATCTCATTTGCTCTTGGAGCTCCTGCTGACACTGAGTGTCAACCAGAGAGTGAAGTGTCATTTTCTCTAAAGCCACATCATAGAGTCCTTAGAACTTATAGGTAATCATCTGATTTCTTTCCATAAAATCTGTTGGCTTCTTGGTAGCAGGTATTTTACAGTTATGCCTCTATTTCCATGTACAAATAATGACATTGTTAACCAATACTGAAATCTGAAATAGAACCTACGTTCAGTTTCTCAGGCGTGAAAGCGTTACACATAGTATAGTTGGACCAGGTTCGATTGTTCTCAGGATGTTTAAACCAAACCCCTTTTTCATCACAGTATTTTGTAACCTTTTCTGTTAATGAAACAGAAGAGTTATTACGTTAATGTCTCAATATCCCAAGAAAGAAAAAAATAGTAAATTAGATCTTAAAAGCCATTCCAAAGTGTTAATCACTTTATAAGAACTTGAATATAAATATGAGTCAATAGAGACTACCATGAATCATGTATTACACAGGTGTTCTTGAATTTTATATTTTTGGCAGTGTCCATGTATCTGCACAAAATAATGTTCCAAACTTGATAAAAACAATAAGTTCCCTTGGGGATAAGCCATAATCTGAAAATTTCACTAAAATACTAGTCAGTGATAACAACTGTCATAACTAAAAAAAACCATTTGATAACTTAGTGTGTGCCAGACCCTCTATTAAGTGCTCTGTGTTAAAAATAAATAATGAAACTTTTCTTTGTCTTGTATTTTTCTTGATTATCAATTGAGTATATATCTGAGATTCTAGGTAAAGTCCATAAGGTTGTGAATTGCAAATTTAACAAAACAATATACACTGGGGAGAGGGATGAGTAAAACGTAGCTGAAAAGAGAGACAATATCTGTCAAGACATTAGCACCAGCAGGTTAAATACATTTTAAAACTAGCATATTGTTAGCAAACAACTGAAATAGTACTTGAATGGAATTAAAATGTAGCTGGCTTGTTTAAAAAAAATCTCACTTTGCTATCATAATACGGGCCTATGATATTTTAATTTGGTACCGAGATTCTGGAAGGTAAAATCCCATAAATGTTCATGCTTATCTATGTTCCATTCCAGCAACTTGAAAAATTAGAGATAATTTTGGTGGCTGCAAAGTAGTATTTAAATTCTAACCTTTTAATTGGCTAAGCAATTAGAGGAAACAATTATACTGAATTAAATAAAATAGAAATAATGAACAAGTAAACATTATAATGAAGGTATTTGCCAAATTTTAACTGAATTACTCAAATATTCTCTAGTTCTCCAAGGCACCCCTACAATGTGTTTTTTTTCTTTTTGTTCCAGAGGTCAAATAACAATTCTAGATTGGTATAATATGCAGAGATCTTACCAGTATATTTAGAACCTTCATAAAATTTTGATCTTTGATAATTACTTGGGGAAAATATTTTTGAAGCATTTCTTTGTGCTGACAAAGGCAAAATGTTGTCATACCTACTGATAACCCTTTAATATACGGCTTTTTTTTTTTTTTTTAACACAAGAAGTGTAATCACTGGACACTGCCATTGCTTTAAAGGTGAAGAAAGCAACTCATGCTAAAAATATTGGCTGAAATATCAGTAGTTTGGGTTAGTTGTATGCTAAGAGTTTGTACAAAAATCCTTTTGTTTTTGGCAGTTTTTAGGTGAAATTCATCATTTTTCATTGACTGAAATTCCAAGAATTAAAACCAAGATTTAAACTACAAATTGTAGATTTATTTATATATCTGCTCCAACAATTATTTACAGTGGATCTTAAAGAGCACATTTTTTCAAGTAAAATATATTTTCAAGCAAGCTGTTGGAAACATTGTTGCTTTACATAAATCTTTTTACAATGTTAAATAGAAAGTTGAAAACTGAATTTGCTGAGATAGCCATTGGACAAAAACTATTTCAAGCATCACTTTTGGGTACTAACAATGTTTGAAAAAGGGTTAGCACTAATCAGCACAGAAAAATTGACACTGAAAATCTGTCAACTTCGCTAATGTTATTTGTTGATGATGACCATTCATTCTAAGCTTACTTGCAATTTTAAAAAAGTGGCTTGTAATAGTAACATTTCATCTTTATTATACTGTTAGAAAGTAGTTTTTTAAAATAAAAATGAATATAATTTGGTTTTAACAAAGTTATGTCGCCATGTATGGGAAGTACATTGGATGCAGAAGGAGGGGATTTCCTCCTGAAGAAGTCCATTCCACTCATGGACAAGACTGTAGGAAATATTATTGTTTTGTTTCATTTTAACTAAAGTCTGGATCTAGGCATTTTATAGTTGTACCTGTTGCAAATAAAGAATTTTTCCTCCTTCACCTGACAGGTTTTTCAATATTTGAAGAAAGAATTATGGTTACTGAGTCTTCACTTTCCAAACCAAATATCCCCCGTTACTCATACCACCCCGTTTACTGTCTCCTCACAGCCTGGAGACTGTGCATGTGCTTTGATATTGATAATTCTCTCTAAAATACTTGAGGTGTGGTCTGATCCATGAAGGGTACGGCATGCTTCCCTCATTCTATATTCACGTGGGGGAAGTTTTTACAGGTTCTCAGGCCTGGAGATTCAACTTCTATTGATTTGGAGAGCGGCCAGGCATCAGCGTTTTTAAAAAGTTCACCAATTCCAAAGGGCGTCAGAGCTGAGAATCACTGTCCTAAACCATATTTTGACCATCTTGGCTCTGTGCCATTAATATCAATTGACTGACTTCAAGTGCAGGGCACCAAATGTCTCCTTGTTAAATTTTGCTTTATTACACTCTAGCATATTCCTTTACACTCTCAGTCTCTTGAATTTCAATGCTGTTCACTCTTTCACTACCTGTCTTTTACCAAGCACATTTTCTGAAATGAAACCTCTGACATTTCATTAAAGTGTTTTATGTGTCACTAACAAATTTCAGTTTGTTGAATATAGATATTTTTAAGACATGCTTTTCTTGTGAAGTGTATTATCCCCCAACTGCGACAGTTCTATCTGAAAACCAGGCTGAAAAGATGGATCTGTGCTTGGAAATCCATGTTTTGCTGATCAAAACCTTGCTTTTTAGTCAATATTTATAGCCACTTTGGCAAAAGTCCATTGCTCCTTTGGAACTTGCCTAGTAGCCTCAATTGCAGAACAGCTCTTTGTGCCAATCAAGTTACCTCTAATGTAGTTGTCAAATCAAGATTAATGAAGCATTATTTACTGCAAAGAGTCAATAAAGGACTGAAGGATTATCACCAAATAGCATTTAGGTAGAGTTTACAGGAATGTAGCTCTGAGTTGGGACACTGCAAAAGCCCTTTTCCTTCTTCATATACCAACTTTTTCATCAAAATGTCAATTACCAGAAGTGGCTGGCCTGCACTGGTTTTAAAAGAAGCCCCCTGTAATCCTACTTCCATTACCTCTGTCTTTCCAGAGTGGAAATTTGGTTTCAGGGCCAAATGAGATCTTATCCTTGAAGGAAGCACAAAAAGCATCTTCCAAATATTGTCTCAGGGATAAATTCATTATCTCTGCTCTGAGATTCTAGAGCTACTTAAACATCCTCTGCAGGCTCAGGCTCACTTTATTCTGGGGAGCAAATCTCACTCTTTAACAGGGACTTTTGTGTTGTGTCTGTAGCTGATCCCATTTAAATTTAGCATCTAGGCCTTCTTTATAACTAAAATTTATACCCCTTTTCAGTATCTTAATCCCAGATTTGTTTCTATGGGACAGATTTTCTATCAGTTTCATGAAACAGAACTCTTCTGGTCCTGACACTCACAGTTCCTAGAGCTGGGCTACTGCTACCTCTCACCCCTCTGGAGCCTCCTTCCTCCTTTCCCTGCATCAGACACATCTCGTGCTGTGCTCTGCCTCCCACTGGCACAGCTACTTATGCACTTGGGTGAGCCTCTCTGGTGCTGGCCACTTTCTTATCTGGACCACCTTCATTGTTTATTACTGTTTCATCTTGGCTGCATATTTAATCACACGCAGAACTTAAAATCCTGATAACCAGGCTGCACTCCAAACCAATTAAATCAGTATCTCTGGGATGGTACCAGGCATCAGGGTTTTTTTTTTTCAAAGTTCCCCAGCTTCTCAGTTAATTTTTGAATCACTCACTTACCACTATTACCTACCCAATCCCATTCTCCACTCCTTTACATCTCCTAGTCTCCGGTTGAGGCTGTTACACAACCTACATGCTCCTGCATTGCTCCTGAGCACTAACCACAGAATGTCTTGAATTCTAGACCTGCAACCTGTTTGGATACCTGACAATCCTAAGATACATAGGTTTGGCTCACTAGTTTCTCACTTCACTTTGAATCTCATACTCCTAGACCTTTACCCTGCTTGAGCATTTCAGGCCAACTTCTAACCATGCCAGTATGACATGATTGAGGCCCGAAGGAATAAAGTGTCCTCCCTTAAAAGTACTTCAACTTTCACATGTTTGTATGGAGACTGAGAAATATTATTTTTTAAATGATTTTTAAACTGCTGTACTTGCTTATATAGAAAGGGTTAGGCTCAGTAGACTTGGGTTCACTTGCAGTTTTGTGTCAAATCCTGTAAGTATAAAATGCAATAATATGTACAAAAATATTTTGAAAAATAAAAAGTGATACTCAGTGAAAAGCATTCCTCTGATCTTTTATAACTAAAGTGATTTGGTGCTACTCATTTACTTAACACACATTTGTCAATTGCTCATGTAAAGCTGGGCACAAAGCTCAGTACTGGTATGAACAATTGTTACAATACTAGTCTTACTTACTGAGCATTTTTAAATAATCTGCTGTTGGAACAGAAATCTGGTGTGTAGAATGACTATTTTCTGATTTATTTGTTCTTATACAGAACAGTTTTACATAATTTTCAAGGTTATATGAAATTTCTATTGTGCATGTTACACCAGCCCAGTAGCATATGCAAATTCTAGAGCAAGTATTTGCATAAGTCACCCAATGTGAGACAATTGAAAATTAAAAAAAGCAAACAAACCCATATTTAAATAAAAATATTCACAGAGTTTTAGAAAAACTAATTTTATAAACCACAATTATATAGAGAGCAATATGCACACTGGCCAGCAATATGACTTAAATAAAGATAACTTGCAGTATTTGTACAACTGAGTAATGTTTCGATTAAGGAAACTTCAGGATATGCTAAAATGTGTAGTATGATTAGGTGTATACATATTATACCTCCTTTTCTTTTCAGAACTATGAAAACTCTAAAAGCTTCATAGCAAAAATATAAAATGAAAATACTCTACCTGTTGGATCAAAATCTGGAAAATAATCTGGGCAGAACTGATAGGTCATTACTCCGGCCGGTGTGTCATCCCAACACATCCATCCATCCCAGGTACGGTTGCAATATGGACCTGGCCATTTAGAAAGAAATTAATATTGAAGCCATGTGGATTTAACTAAAAGAGAAGATTGATCCCAAGACAATTTTATGTGTAGATTAACCCATTACTTCAGTCACAATTGCCCACATGTTAATTGAGCCAAAGTCATTTATTTTGAAAATAAAGTTTCAAAAAGGCTTAGCATATCTGGGACCAAATTATCTCATTGGCTAACAGGCAGGGTTCTAGTCCTATTCTGTAGGTGGTTCCAAGTTGATCTTATCAAAAAGCAAGCAGCACCAAAGATTACATTTTACTCTGCTCTCTATTTCTTTAATTGTAAGTGAACACATAAATCTGAGGTACATAGGTTGGTGGTTAATTAAATGGGTTTTGAGTGTTTTGGTAAGTTTTTACTTCCTGAAACTTCTTTATCCTTCTTTAAAATATCCAACCAGGAAATTGGATTTAGATTATGAAGTCTTGCAGTTCCTTTAAGATATGTTAAGTTTCCCCACCCTTATTAGCATAAGGATTTGAAGAGTAATTCTGTACAAGAACATTACTTGACCAAATTCATGACACCAATTAATTCTTCAAAATCTTGAAATAAATTTCAAGAGTGGGGTACTCTCAAAGAACAGATTTGCAAAGTTTATCAGCCTGTTACATTTAATCAATCTGTTATTTATTTATTTGTAAACAAAATGTCTTGGAATTCACTGAGGTAAATGAGTTTTTTTGCAGGGAATTTGTCCTTGGAAGTTTGGTTCTCACCACTAAACGTTTTATTTGGGAGTGCAGGTTTAAATGAGATAATTAAGATATGATTGAAAATTGTCAGAAAATGGTGGAATCCTCAGCAGGATTTACCAGTGCATAGATAACTGAGCATATCTTATTCTGGGACTTTCCACTTAGATATGGAAATATTAAAAAGAACAGTAGCAACAGCCACAAAATAAAGGTATTAACTTTACCTATGACTAATGGAATTTACATTTTTTGTAGGGTTTTATGCATTTGTTTCTCGAAAGACACACACATAATATATGTATGAAATCTTTCCCCCAAAAGCTTTCCCTTTAAAATATTTTCAGAAATGCTACAAGGGAACTCTTACGAACATAAATGCAATTTCACCCCTGGAAAAAGACTTGTCTTTAAAAGTCTATAGCGGTTTGAAACATATGGACCCTACTAACCATTAACCTTCAAAAGGGTTACTTTGGGTAGTTCCATTCTTAATCCGAGGGTGATGCAATTGTTCAAAGTTCCTACTGGAGATGCATTTGCAGCACTTGGTTACAGAATAAAATAACGCTGAGTCTGATCACTTTATGTATTCATCAACATTGGCTACAAGTGATTTCTTCATGTTTTAAAAATTAAATCTACCTTAATATATGAAGATTTACCCCTATAAAGGTATTCAAAAGAATGAACCTCATGCTTTGAAAGAAGTTCTCAAAAAAACAAATTGTTTAAATTTAAAACAATTTAAAAGAAAAATAATGACCATAGTACAATAGGTCAGCCTCCCAAGGTGACTAAGACTAAAAGGAAAGATACTGCACTCACTTGGTCTCTGAAAATATCAGCTTTGTGTTTCTAGTGTCTCATTGGTGTCAAAGAAATGGTTTCTCCTTTGTGCAGGGTTGCATCTAATGCCTTTGCAGTTCTTTATAAACACTGAAACTATTGCAGACAGAAGAATAATGTGCATCTGTCTTTCAATTGACTTGATTTTTTGTTTAAAGAAAAATGCTGAAAATAGGAACTACAAATTTAAACTTTGAAAGCAACCATGCGTAGTAACAGAGTCTAAGGTTGTATAAGGATGTCGCAACACCTGGCCATCACGTTGTCCCTTTTGTTTTCCCCTGGGCCCTCTATAGCTAATGGGATATACTTAGCCCTGAGAATACTTGAGCAGTCATAGAGAGCATTCTAGAAAAGGTGACAGATAAACAATACCTGCCTAGGAAACATCTTTTTCTAATTCTTCTGGGAACTGGGGGTAGAAGGAGAGAAGGAATAACGTGGGTTGCCAGCCAAATGACTGTTAAGGGAAGATACTGGCTAATTAACCCAAACAAGACAGGGCTTTGACAGGTTCCACCTCTGGCAAATTCTCTGCCCACCATTTTCCACTTCCCCTTTCTCAGGTAGTCCTGGATTGTTCCTGCTTGCCAGGTGTGGAGACTGAGTTATTGCAGTAATTTTGTCATGAGGGCAGATGTTAGCCAAAAAGCCACCAGATGAATTTGAGCAAAGAACCTAGGCATATTTACTGCATGAAATACACAAACATACCATAATGTGAAAACTGCTGGCGTATTAAATTGAAATGATTCAACATGTATTTATTCATGGAAGAAAATAAGTCTTTAATGATGTTTCAAACGTGTGCTCACATACGTCCTTCTTACCTTCTCCTTCATAGGGGGGTAACTGCTGCATTCGGTCATAGCACTTGTACTGTGCTTCCAACAGCTTCTTTCGTCCTACGATGTACAGAAATGGCTCCGAATCTAATGTCGGAAAGGTTTGATTTGAAAAGGCGGGAAGAATTGGGGTTGGGTGCTGTATTGAAAAGGAAAATCAGTTACTTATACAGAGTAGAAATGGGTGAGCACATAAATAAATGAGACAATCAAATCTTGAAAATGTTTATTTTTGCTTCTCTAAGCAACACTTATTCATGGTATCCATGTAGAATAGTTTTGCTTTATAACTAAAAAGTGTATTTACATTTCATCTACAAATTCTACCTGCAAGTTTTATATTTGCATTAGTTTCCTTTCACTACTGAATATGAATAGCAATCACACACACTCACGCACCTGCTTATCATGTAGGATGGTTTTAATTTTATTATCATTGTAAAGTTTAGAAGTAAACAATGCAAATAACCTGATTTCCAAAAAATACCAATATTAAATCAAGTTTGGCTTGTTTGAAATGCTTAAGAATCATGGATAATGTTATTAAAAAATAGACATAGTGCAATAAATATGGTCTTTTATTGGATTCTTTCAGCTAAATTTTATTTGTGCTCAGATTATGCATAGTACCAGAAATTTACCCCATTTATTCCATAGAACAAACAAACCATGTTTTCTGCTTCTCATAATTGACCTTAATCTCTTTAAATTGGTTTTATTAGCAGATGACCTACACAGGGTAATTTATTTTCACTGATGAAAATCAATGTCATTCTTAAATATTTCTCTCAGCACATTTGCATTTTTAGTACAGGTTGACAGTTTCTTCAGCTTCAGTTAATCACCATCACCATCACTGGCCTCTGTTGTCAAAGTTGATGTATGTGTGCTTGTGCATGTGCGTGCATGCGTGCATGTGTGTGTGTCTAAAAAGATCACTGTCATGCTGTTCTTTCTTACTTGTGTTTGTATAGATTTCAATTTCTCTTGTGGCTATGAATGATGTTTTTAGTGGTGCTCGAATCTGTGATTTTTTTATATCCACATTCTGCAGAGAGATTTTTTTGGAGAAAACTTGCAAACTTCAGCTTGCACTGACTTTCTGTCTTCTGAAGCTAGGAACACTGGTTGCTCTCTCTCTATCACACCCATAGAGACATACTTTTATTTGGCCTTATTTATCTAAATTATTCCAAGATTGAAGTTTTCCCAAGTGTATTGATGGCAGAAGTAGTGTATGTACTGTTCTATATTCCCTAAGGTCTCTAAAACAAAGCTCATTCCTGTTAGGTTGACCTGTACACCCAGGCCATTCATGACAGAGCCTCACTGTTTTCCAGTATGTGTCATTTTGAATGTCCTACATGACAGCATGTCATGACATGACAGCATGTTACTACATGATGAACTGTACAGCACATAATACAATAAAAATTCAGAGTGGGAAGAGAATGTAGTCAGGGATGGCTACAGACTTTCAAGGTAGAATTTGGATTGGACCTTGAATGAATGTCATGTCTGAAGAGGCAGAGAGGAGAGGGAAGGCTTTTGGGATGCATGGAAAGGAATGCACAAAGTTCCAGAGGTTGGAAATGGCATGTGTGAGACATTGAGGGAACGATCGTGCCTGAATAAGAGATGAGGTAGAGGAAAGGCAGATAATTCAGAGCCCTGAAAGCCAAAAAAAAAAAAAAAAAAAAAAGGAGAGAGAAAAGAAAAAAAAATAGTTAAAACAAAGTTTTTTTGTCACTTTGAGCAGGTTAGGAACCTCTTTAGGTCTAAGTTTCTTCATTTGTAAAATAAGACTATTTATCCTCTATGGATATTGTGAGGATAGGAGCAAGAAAACTACTACAAAGTGGCTGGAACATGAATGGCTCGATGATTTTCATAAACATTATCAGAATGTGATAATCAGTGAAGGTGCAAAAGGATAATTTCAGTAACATTCAGAGGGCAGGCGCCAGATGTCCACAGGGTAGAGTTGGAGAGGGTAACCAGGAAGCTGAAGGCCTGGACTAGATCATCCCATGTTGCAACTAGAAAGTGAAACTCTCAGCACCTTCTCAAGTAACAAGAACCTGAACCTGAAGGTGTACTTGAATACTGTATAAGGAATGGGGAACAATAATAATCAAATAGTCCAGCTATTTAGCCTATGTAACTGGAAAAAACGGAAGAAAGGGGAGATGTTGAGAAAGGAAAACCTTACTACGGTGAAGAAGGAAAGTTCTGATTTGGATTTGTTCTGGAGATGTCCAAAAGCCATCTTTGTGGACATCGCTAGCAGAGAAAAGAGTGAATACTTATTCCATTATAACAATACTGTTATAACTCTATACAGACACCTACTGTGAATAAAGTTGATGTTCTTTAAATATTTAGGATATTTCTAATTTTAATGTCTCGAATTTACGAGGGAAGAAAATTAATGAACTCATAAAAATGATTAAAATTGTGCAAATCCTTTACCAGTGTAGCTAAATACAATTCTGTTGACATATGACTCTTTTTCCCACTGGTTTTCAGATCAATCTGTCAGCAAATATTAATTGAACTTGATGAACCAAACTTTGTGCTAGATGCTGAGGATGCAGTGCTGAATAAAATAAGTACAAATCCTCCTCTCATGGAGCTTATAGTCGAGCAATATAAAATATTTTCCTGACACCAGAAATTGTGAACAATGAAGAATCAAGCAATAAAATTATTTTAAAAAAACTTTTTTCAAACTATGTTCCAATTCTCTAGGAAGAGAATTTTCTAGGAATTGGAACATGGTTTATGAAAATCAAAAAAAAAATATGTTGAAGAGATTTTATGCTAAGGCCTATTTTCATATTTTATTAGCCTACATTTAGACGAATGTGTGTATGTGCTTTAAAAATTCCACTAAACATCATATAACCATCAAAGCAAGGAAGGATTGTGGTGCCCTCACAATAGAGATATCAATAATTGGTTCAGCTTATTATCTACTTTAGATTCTTCTTTTGTGGCTCTATTCTTAGATGCTTCAGTTGATATGAGAATTATCATTTAATATATTATTAATTTCTGGGTCATTTTCTCACCATCTTCTAATCATATTAGAAGGTGGGATATGATATATATATATATATAAATTTTATCTGTCACTTGTATTAGACATTAAGGACTATTTTGCTTAAGGCTGCCTTTTCTTCTAGAAGTAACATTCTGAATTGTCTTTTATAGGGCTGACAACCAATTAAGAAATGTTCCCGCATTAGTTGCAAATTCATGGAAGCCATAGGGAAATAGTATGTTCCAAGAATATCAAGTGGAAAACCCTGAAGTTGTTTTCTCAATTACATCCTTATTTGGTTTAATGAGTTTTAACATCAGAAATGTGGAAATATAACCATCTGAATAAGAGTAGGTGTAGTTCATGCTGATGACAGTAGCTTCAATCTTATCATTCTTGCAATTTTGAAACAAACTCCAGTGAACCTGGTCTGAAGCCTGGTTCAGTAGAGATTGTTTCAGCACTGAAAGAATGAGCAATCAGAACTTCTGTTGTTAGACGAGCCATAATAATCTGAGTCTGCTCCTGGTCTTGTTCATGCTTGAATGTTGAAGACAGAATTTTCCCAGTGGTAGCTGAATGTCTCAGTAACCTTCTTCCTAAAATAAAATATGTATTAGAGCATTCTGCATACAGATAGATGGACAGAAGGAGATAGATATACAGATCAGAAAATATAGATATAGATATATAAATACTGTATATATATTCCAATCATGGAATATTACTGCTTAAAAATAACACATATACAAATTTCATAAAGTTCATTAAACATTTTAAACTTTTCACTGATAATTTCATACAAACAAAAATTGCTAGTGAGGTGGTATTATTTTCAGCAATAAAGAGGCAAATAAAGCCAGTAACGATTATGTAAAACAACCAAGCAATGTGAAAGACTTAAAAATATTCTACTTATTATAAGCATTACATTTATACTATTATATTTGGGGGATTTAAGTAAATCTATGACTCTATGCTTACATGATAACAGAAATGAGACATTAAGGGCATATTGGTTGTCTGAATAAAGACAAGTGTCCAAAGTTTTCCATACAAACCATCTCAAATCATTATTCAACAAACAAACAAACAATCTCTTAATTGTTGTCCTATGTAGCAGTTTAGCTGTCGTATATGGGATGTCATTCCTAAAAGTTCAAGTAAATGGCACCACACATACGACCACCAAGCTGCCACCAACAGCGGTAGTCAGCAGCTGAAACATCATCGGTTCCTTCAGATAGTAAATATTTTTTGTGCCTCCCACATGCCAGGCACTTCTCTAGGTTGTGGAAATTAAGTAGTGAACAAGACTGGCAAAGTCCCTGCCCTCAAAGAGCTTACATTCTAGAAGTTTTCATCTACATTAATCATAGAGTCCAGAGGAGAGCAATCTGATTTGAAATGGCCATATGCTTAGGCAGTTCCTACTCTGATGTAGGACAATCAGCCTGCTTTTGGGTTATAGGTAGGTACTGTACAGAGACAGAACAGTTACATAGCTGTTCTGTCTGGAACTTTGAGAAATGGTCTGTCTGTGCAATGATTCGAGCCCCTGAATGTGTGGACCCATGCTACTGTGCTGAAGGGACAGCTTCCTATTGATTGACATAGGCAGAACTTCTCTGAAAAGAATATGGATCTGGAATCCAGAAATTGATGTCACCAACAGCATTTCCATGTCACCATCCTTAATACTGATAACGTATATGTTAGAATTACTTGCGGTTTTCAGTTACTCATACTTTTCAAAATAACAAAGGATGAAATACAATTTTGTATAGTGTTAGCCCTGGTTCTTTCAGGTAGGATCAGATGCCTGGTTGGTGTCCTATGTGCTTTCTATTTATGCATTATGCAGACAACGAAACTTCTGCATATCATAAATTCAAAGCAGATAGGGGAACACAGCTAATTAAACCAACAACAATAAAAACAACAAAACACTTCTCAGAAGAAACTAGTTTTTCTATGTCTCCATCATTGTTGTCATCATCATCATCATCACTAGCTTTTTTGAATGCTCACTACATGCCAACCACTGTTTTAAGCCTATTGTATTTTGCCAGAGAAGGGAGAGAAGTGAGTAGGTGGTTTTGGCTAATGAAGAAGCGGCTAATGGAAGGAGGTGTCCCAAACTGGTACTTTCAAGCCTGTATGGAAATTAAGTTGGTAGAATTTAATACATATACTGGTAATGTTTTTTCACTGTATGTGTTATGTAAAAAGTGATGTTTTAGATTGAGAGCATTATCTTTTAAAAAAATTATTCTTTTCTCCAAGGAATATCAACGTGGAACATATTAAATGTTTTGAGGGAAATTGATTAATCAAATTTTGTTTCATGGACAAATCCTCCAAATCAGATACAATCCAAATACAGACAGAGAAGCAAATTTCTCTGTCACAGCAAAGAGAGCACAAAGCCTTTTAAGTGCCTGGTTGAGTTATGTTTGCTGGTGAAGAGATGACCACAAACCATAAAATATTGCTGTGATGACTCTTGCAAATACATGCAATTTTTTTCAGTATTTAAATTATAAAATATATCAGGTGAAAGCTTTGTATAAAAGTATCCTGCTTTAGTTTTTTAACACACCAAAAATTATTTGTTGGTTTCATAGTAAAAAGGTGATTAGATAATTCTCAAACTATTTTGTTAGTATTTAATGGTATTGTTTTAGTTTTTCTTCTATCATGTACAATATAATCATATACTTATGAAAGAAAATTATTCAGAAATATTCACATATAATTAATCACATAAGATTTGATTTGAGCTATAACAATATCAATTTATAAATAATATATACCAATATTTCTGCATCTATAGAATACCACATAAGGCTTGGGCATTTACAGACAAATTAGAATATTCTTTTAGTTTCTATGATATTCTTGTTTAAATGCTTATATTGTATTTCCAATGGCATAAAGCAACCTGCATTTCCAAATACTGGGTTACTGTTAGAAACTTAAGCTGTAATTTATCTAAAGCAATATTTAATAGGTTAAAATAATATGACAGTCTGGCATAATAAAATAAACTGTGCTTATTATCCAAGTATGTGCAAAAGAGCTGCATTAACAATCACTCCCATAAACCATTTATTTGATGCATAACATTACAAAATAAAAACTTCCTTACAAATTAAACTAACATTTATGAAACACAAGTGATATTTTTTTTGAATAATATAAAGAGAAACGGTTTAGGCAGGCTTGTAAGCCAGTGAACAACACATTAATGAACAATGGAAATCCGGGAACCCTAGGCAGGTTTTGCTTGCATCAGTAAAACGGTATGAGATACTGACTGAGTGATCTTTACTACCATCTGTAACTCACTGGCAAATGTTATTCGGATGTGGTAGAAAGGATAAAAATGAGGACAACTCCAAGCTGATTTATGTAAAATGTGCTCATCTCCCTTTCATGTGCTATTGAAGCTGATGTGATGGTGGGTTTACAATGTGGACACATACAAGTAGGCATTGATAGTGTTTTCTAAGGTGATGATACTTCTGACTACTTGCTCAGTCCTTTAGGAATAAAACAACATAAAATTACATAAATTGAACACGATTTGAAAGGCTGGAGAAAGAGTTATGGAATGACAGTAGTATGGAAAGACTTGAAGATTATTAGTTTTTGAAATCAATAACCAGACTGAAAGAGTTCAGATGTTTTAAAAGGACTAAACAGTCCAGAAACCATGATTCAAATCCACATGTCAAACATGAAAACCATTTTATCCAAGAACATTATTAAACTTCAGTGTTAATTTTCAAGATAATAGGGAGATGTCTCAACATAATGCTAAATTTTTGTACACAAACAAAACTCAGATTTCTGGGTAAACCATAACACTAATGTAAATTAGCAAAAGTTTAGAGGAGAGACTTGTTAACAAAATATTAAGAAAAATGATGGTTTTGAGGAACTTAGTTTTGGCATCTGGAGAACAATGCCTACCCTTGCAAACGCCAATTCAATCACACTCAAAACATTCTTCCTTATTCAGCATTCTTGATTAACATGGCTGAGAATAATTTTGTCTTACTTACGTTTAGAAGAACGAACAGTGCCAATAATCGGCATGTAACCCTGAGCCTCATTTTTGATTTTTGAAGGTCGGTCTTTGTCCTAGAAAGATAGGAGTGACAAAGATTTAAATCAAGATAGCTCTAATATAGACTATAGCATTCCTTTTCTTTTTAACATGAAGAAGATCAATGTCCCCAGATACCCCGAATAAAACACATGTAACAACAGTGTGTTTGTGATGCAAACACAACTTCATGTCCCCCTGCCCTCCTGTCAACCAGACTGCTGTCCCAAAGCCCCTCCCATTAAGAAATTCTCAAGCTACTTTTCCATATCAAAATCAAAATAAAGGCATTTCGAAAAATCAAGAGCAATCTATGTCGACTTCAACTAATATGTCATCAATAGAACTGCAGAAAATTGCAATGGGAACATCCACAAAGAAGTCACCTCACTGGACATGAATAAATAAAATCTGTGGTTTGTGAAGGATTAATAGTCATGCCCTCTAGGTAATCTAAGGCCAACCTTAAAAGTCATCTTATTTAGCGCCTTGAGTATTTTTCTTCCCTAGGAATATTTCTTCAATCTTCAAGTTGCTATTAAGAATAAATTTCTTTCACAGCCAGGATTGAATATCTCACCTAATGGTTTACCATTCCTACTCAAAAGCTTTGCTTTGTCACAAATATCAAATGATTATTCATGGCTCTGCAGACAATTTTACACAAGGAAAGATAATAAAAGGGTGAAAAATTAAAATATACATATTTTTATCAGTGCGATTTGTGTAAAAACTATATTTCAATTTGAAATAGGTGGTTTGTATATTAAGTAGTATGATTGCCTCTTACACTATATTCATTATATCACTTATAAGTTTCACATACTCTATCAGATATGATTTAGTTTCTACAATGTATGCCTAATGTACTTGCCCCCACAAAGAGTACATTCTATTCAATGTACCTATTGGTATAATAGGAAAGTAAGAATGTAAAGTATAATTTTGAAATGTCATCTTATATGCTAACCATTATTCGTTGTTTCTGGTTTACTTCAAGTCCACTCAGTAAATTAAAAACACATACGAACATGTATTAAGTGCCAAGGCACTATAAGGGTTGTTAATAGGGGTGAACTGGATGAGATACGGTTCCATGATGAGAAACTGAGCATCTGATGGAGGTTCAGAGAGTAGATATGAATGACAGACAATAACTAAAATGCAGACTGGGTAAAAATTTCAATAAAATTGTGAAAATTCAAGGGCCTCACACCGGAGCCAGATAATTTCTTCTTGGGGGGAACAGGACAGAATTTATATTTTGAGATACAGTTTGAAAACTAAGTAGGATTTTGAAAAGTAAAGACCTGCTAGGCAGAGAAAGCAGATAAAAACAAGATATAGAGGTAGAAAAATTTAGGATAACTAAAAAATAATGAATATAATAGTTTAAACTAGCTGAATCATAGAGCCTCTCAGAAAGTGAAAATAAGGCTGAAAAAGTAGGTTTTGCATGCTTAGGAAATTCAAATAATCTTTTTGGTACACTGAATATATGGCATGCATATTCATATATATATATATGTGTATGTGTGTGTATACACACATTTATATACAGATGTCCTAACAAACTACCTGATGCTAAACCCCTTTCAGATAAGAATTATGGTTTAGATATCTACGTACTCGGCACCTCACACAATTCCTTACACATATTTATTATTAGTATTGATAATGATGGTGGTTTGTGATTTAATGAATTGAATAAAACATAGAACTCTTGTGACTTTTTACAACCATATCCTCTTCAGACCTCCATACTAGCAAATCTGAATGTATTATTTATTCCCTCTCCAATTTCTTGCATTTCCCGTATCAGTGACTTCAACAATTATCTATAAATTGTCTGAATGAGAAAATATAGATCATTCTCGATTCCACCCACTTCATCCCCAACATCTAGAATCCAGACTCTCTAGTTCTATCTGCATTTTGGTAACTTTTCAAATATGTCCACCCCTCCCCACTACCTTAGTGCAGGTCATCAACTTTTTCATCAAGACTCTGGCAACAGCCTCCAGACTAGTTTCCCTGCTTCAGATCTTGATCCCTCTGACCCATTTTCTACAGTAAAATGAGTGTAATCTTATCCTCCCTCAGCAATTCCTTATACACTTTAAGTAGATGCATAAAACCATTGGCTAGGAATATAACATAGGGCCCTCCTGGTAACAAGCACCAATAAGATTATGGAGTGAAATAAAGAGGGAGAAATTAAACTTGTCTCCTAGATTTCTAGCTCAATAAAAGAACAGGTAATGAAGGAATTTAGGAGAGGGGAGTAGGTAAAAGAGCAGGAGCTTTTAATTCAAGTCTTCTCCCTTAACTAGGAACATTACTACCACAGTATATTGGGTGAGACGTATTTCCTGGTGTGAAAGGTAGGACTTTTGAAATGTATACATGTGAAACTGACACAGCTTTTCTTAACTAGATCCTGTTTTTTAAGAAGAAAATCATAGACATATATTGAATTCCTAAAGGTCTGCTGCTCATGATAGTCCTATGATTTAGCCTCTGAGAGAAGCAGGAACATTACAGGTGTCAGAATTAAAAAGCCAGATCTCTTCTTGACATGAAAGTACTGCTATTAATTCCAAATGTGATAGCTGATCATGGCAAGAAGCCAACTTCTCTATGAAGATGCATATGGGGCAATGAGGCAGTTAATTGGCTTGTACTTTCTATGCCATATATTTGATGTCATTTGATATTTTATATTGTAGAAGTTCCTCAGTTTGACTCAACAGTATCATCAAAACAAGGAGTACTGGAGGCAGCTGGAGACTTGTCACATTTAAGGCGAATGGAGCCGCACAGTCATCCTGCTATAGGAAAGGGGAGTCCCATAGTTTCAAAGCCCCAGACACTGCTTTTACAATTGTAGCACGAACTACTAAGGTGAATGAAATGGAGAAACGGAATGGAGATTGAGATAATTTACCTTTTCTAAGATTATCAAAAACAAGAAAGCAGAATAGAGAAAGAGAGTTAATGAGAGTGACAGCCATGGAAAATCCAAGAGGAACTGACAGAGGTCAATGACTTAGTTGAAGATATGATTATTAGATAGAATGAAAGGATAGATTGCAGAGTAGAATCTAGAGAAAGACCAATGTAGGATTTTAAGTAGGCAGGATTCACGGTGACACTGGTTGTATTCAGAATTCAGCGACCTTGAGGAGAATAGTTTTGACTTGAGACCTAGAGAATTAAACCTAGACCCGGGTAGGAAGGACAATGAGCAAACACTTGCTAGCGGAGATAAAATGCAGCTTGGAAACTTTTAATCTGGAAGGGGAACAGGTGAGACAGATGATCTGTGAGCAGTCATCTGGTACTCCATGAAGATGACTCAGAGAAAACCAGAAGATTTAACTTTGACATCGATTACTTGTTTGTTTACTTTCTTCTTGATGAATTGCCTTCTCCACAACAAGGACTTTGTTCACTCTTGCAACTCTAAAACCTAGAAAAGAGGCTGGAACACAGTAAATGCTCAGTAAATGTTGGTTACTTCATTTCAGGGATAATTTAGGGGCAGAATGTAGGGAATGTCAATCTTGGAATATGGTAAAACAGGGGACATTTTTTTTCTTAAGGAGCCCTAATTCTGGAGCTAAGAAATTCTAACTGATTCTTCTGCTTTTATTATTTCTTTAGTTTTGGACAAAGAGCTTCACCTATTATGCCAGTTTCCTATATAGGATGACTTCTTAGCCATAGCAGCCTTGAATAAGAGAAGAACATACTTCCCTATGTGAAGCATATTGATCCCTTTGCATCTGTCTCAGTGGTCTAGTTACTTAGAGTAGTGATTCCCAAGATCTCTTTTAGCCACTTTTCCCCCCCCAAACAAAAGCTCTTGTGGGAGCTCCATGTATAACTAGATCAACATAGAGCATAAAAACCTGATTGTGGAGCCTGATTTAGAATGTGGAAATGAAGAAACCACTGTCAGAGGTTAAGTTACTGGTGGCACAACAGACTGCACTGCTCTGTGTCCACAAACGGACAGTTACCAGTAATCTTCTCTCTAGAAAACTGCATCCATGGGTTGTAAGTGTGGGTTGATCAGTGGAACCATTCCTCCTGTGAATATAGTCTAAGTCACTAACTCAATGACAATGATTGAATAGAATAATCTTCATTTAAGGGGAACACATTTCTTGAAAAGTAAAGTTACATTATTTTTATTTATTTTTTTATGGAAAGGCTATGAAATGCCAATGTCTGAAAATAATGTGTCTATTCTCATAGATCAGCATTTCCAAAAGTGTGCTCCATTGAAGAGTAGTAATCCCATGAGAAGCAGCATAAAATAAAGTTTCCATGGCCATATAAGTTTAGGAAATGTATTTCCTATACTCCTTTTAGAGACTTACCAAAGACATTAGCACTTTAAAAATTCTAATTTTTCTGTGCTAAAAACAACTGTTGACTTTAACTCTTTATTTTCCCTATTTGACTATGAAACACTTTTTCCTGGCAGTAACAATTCAATTAATAACACATCTATAAAATAAATTTTGCAAAATGCTCTTTTAGCTCAATGACAATTTCTAACCCACCCTAGTCAATTAAGCCTACAAGTCATGAGAATATGCTGTCCTTTTACTTAAAAATTTCTTTCTTCTCCATGGAGCAAAACTGGAATTTCTGAGGGCTTAAATATTCCCTAGCTTTGGTACAAAGCCCAAAGCCATAACAGGCATCTCAGGGGAAACTGTTCCTTTGGAGCATTATTTTCAAGGACCTCTTCATCAACATCCCGGCTAAGAGAACAAGGAGTAGAATGAGATCTCAGGGCAAACAGCAGGAAACAAGAACAGGCAGGCATTGCTTATCTAAAAACAGCTGTGAACTTCTATAATTCAAGTCCTAGAATCTGTTTCAAATTTAAAATTTGGTATTTCCTTGTAGGAAAGCTCTATTTAACATGTTTCTGTAGATACAGTCTGAGTGAGCAGGTAAGTGAATTTTGTGAAACCACAGGGTAGGCTGATTTGTTGCCTTAGCAATGCCTTCAGTT